TAGCTGTTTGACCCTGGATGAGTTGTGCTACGTAACCTCCCCACACGTAGTTCCTGATTGAAGATAATGATAGAACATGCCATTGCCCTGAGTTATGGCAGGAGTTACTGTGTGGATAATGCTCCCCAAAGATGCTCACATCCTCATCCCTGGAACCTGTGACTTTGCTACCTTCCATGGCAAAAAAAAGATTTTGCCAGTGTGATTAAGGACCTTGAGATGGGGTGGTTAGCCTGGATTCTTCAGGTGGGCCCACTGTCATTGCAGGGGTCCTTAATTATATAAGAGGGAGGCAGCGGCATCAGAGTCAGAGAAAGAGATGTGGGGATGGCCGCGGAGGTCAGACTTGTGACTGCTGGAAGAAGGGCGTGAGCGGGGGACATGGGCGGCCCTTTCCTGGAAGCTGCAGAAGGCAAAGGCTTTTTCCCTGCAGCCTCCAGAAGGAGCACAGCTCTGCTGCCACCATGATTTTAGCCCAGTGTGACCCATTTTGGACTTCCGACCTTCATAACTGTAAGATAATAAACGTATGTTGTTTTCAGCGTGAAATTTGAACATATATGCAAAACTGTTAGAAAGGTACCTAGCACTTAGTAAATAGTAGCTATTCTGTTTTCTAGAATCCAAGTTTCTGGTATTCTTTGCCTTATTCCCGCTACACTCGCTTTACCACACCTGAGACCTCAGCTTCTGCAGCAGGCATGAAGGCAGGAATCCCACTTTTCTCTGCTTGGCTTTGAATTGCAGTTGCTGAAATAGGGGACATCTTTTCCAGGACTGAAGTGGCCCCGGATGTCTGTGGGACTGTGCAGAGAGGGAGGTGGCCTTAGTGAGCCATCAGCCTGGGCTGCGTGTTTGGCCATCCCAGCTGTCTGTCGCTTTAAAAAGTGGGAAGGTGGCTGGTCCCCTGCGGGGACAGCTCACAGATTTCTCAGGCCAAGAGAGTGTCTTTTCGTTTGGGGGTTAGAGTCTATCCCAGCCACCACATGGGGGAATCTCAGAAGCTTACTGGTTGGACTCCAAGATACTTGCCAGTGTTTTTTATCTTTTATTTTGAGACGGAGTTTCGCTCTTGTTACCCAGGCTGGAGTGCAATGGCGCGATCTCGGCTCACCGCAACCTCCGCCTTCTGGGTTCAGGCAATTCTCCTGCCTCAGCCTCCTGAGTAGCTGGGATTACAGGCACGCGCCACCATGCCCAGCTAATTTTTTGTATTTTTAGTAGAGACGGGGTTTCACCATGTTGACCAGGATGGTCTTGATCTCTTGATCTCGTGATCCACCCGCCTCGGCCTCCCACAGTGCTGGGATTACAGGTGTGAGCCACTGTGCCTGGCCTTTATCGTTTGTTTTTTGAGGCAGAGTCTCGCTCTTGTAGCCTAGGCTAGAGTGCAGTGGTGCGATCTCGGCTCACTGCTACCTCTGCTTCCCAGGTTCAAGCCATTCTCCTGCCTCAGTCTCCCAAGCAGCTGGGATTACAGGAATGCATCACCATGCCCAGCAAATTTTTTTGTATTTTTAGTAGAGACAGGGTTTCACCATATTGCCCAGGCTGGTCTCAAACTCTTGACCTTGTGATCTGCCTGCCTCGGCCTCCCAAAGTGCTGGGATTACAGGCATGAGCCACCGCGCCTGGCCCTACTTGCCAGTGTTTTACCCTTTTCTTTGGTTTGTTACTAAAATGATTGTTATGGCTAACCCTAATATTTAACATTTACACAGTTCTTTAGTGGCCAAAGCACTTTTACAACTTAGAATGTCCCTGTAAGGCTGGAGGCCAGATTTTACCTGTCATTTTGCCTGTGGGAAAACTGCAGCTCAGAGCTGCCCTGCATCCTTCAGCTGTTACTATTTAGCGCTGGCAGGGGTGGGAACTGGGGAGGCCTGGCTTCTAGTTCATTGAGGGTGGCCTTATACCCTTGCAGAGCCTGCAGCTCCCTTTGCCGTTTGTTCAGGGACTGCTCAATTTCCTGGCTCAGGGACTGCAAGGCATCAGGATAGGGGGTGCTGTTGAACAGTATCTTACCAAGGAAGGAGTTTTTTGTTTTTATTTTTTTGTTTTTTTTGAGACAGAATTTTGCTCTTGTTGCCCAGGCTGGAGTGCAATGGCGCCATCTTGGTTCAATGCGACCTCTGCCTCCTGGGTTCAAGCGATTCTCCTGCCTCAGACTCCCAAGTGGCTGGGATTACAGGCATGCACTACCAGGCCTGGCTAATTTTGTATTTTTAGTAGAGACAGGGTTTCTCCATGCTGGTCAGGCTGGTCTTGAATTCCCAGCCTCAGGTGATTTGCCTGCCTTGACCTCCCAAAGTGCTGAGATTACAGGCATGAGCCACTGTCCTTTTTTAAATATACTTATTCACCAGGAATGAAATTCACTTCATTTCATTGCAAGATATTTGGCTGAAACTAGACCAAAGCCCATTTACTAATATTTTGGAAAGAAAGGAAGTCTTTCTGGACAGAGCCTATGGAAAAATTACCAACCGACACCAACTGGGCTCATGACAGACTCAGACTCAGGGTCTAGCCAGGTGTTGTTGGAGGCGCTAAGTGCCCATGGGTTGGGATGTTTAGTGGCTGCAGGGCCGCCATTGTAGGCCCCTATTTCCACCCACTTCTTTGCCTCGTCTTGGGAGCCTCCACTGCTCCTGACCTGGTCACCAGGTCCTGGCCCTGGATGCCCTGAAGTGTAGGAGTGTTGACAGCTACTACAAGAGTGGATTTTGCACAGAAAGATTAGCGACTCCTTTCACAATTTATGCCCCAACATACTGGCCAGTCTGCACTGGGAGGACTCTGTCCCCTGCTAGGTCTGGCACATAACAGACACCTGCCAAACATCTGCTCAGTGAATGGCACTGGCACACTAAACAGAGGGTCACCAGGCTGGTCATAGGGAGGCGTGGTCCTGGGAGGGGAGGCAGCCACATACCCGCCCCAGCTCGGAACATTTCTTCTGGGAGCACGTGGCGTGGGCCAGAATGAGACTCCGGGAGGGGAGGTGCCGACTACGCAGGAGAGACAGGACCCCTAGCCCCAGTATTTCCTATTTGGCAATTTTGCTGCAGCTCTTGTGATAGAGCCCCAAGTTAGACCCTTGGGCGGGGCACTGTCACCAACTAAGCACGATTCTCTCCTGCCCTCCTGTTTAGGGGACTAAGGCCAGGACAGAGCTCATCTTTGACCAGCAGGAGGGAGGCACAGTAGCCCTCTGAATTCTTGATCTTTGCAGCTGGTGTGGGGTGGGGGCTGGCACAAAGTCAGAAAGAAAACCGGGTAGCAATCTGTCAGAGGGTCACCAGCCTGGTCATAAGGAGGTGTGGTCCTGGGAGGGGAGGCAGCCGCATAGCAGCCCCAGCTCAGATCATTTCTGGGAGCATGTGGTGTGGGCCAGAATGGTTCCTGTTTTCTGGAGCTGAGCTCTCCAATCTGTATTCAGGAGCCAGTGCTCTGCTTCCTCCGGAATCTCACCCTACCCCTGGTCCAAAGGAACCCTGGCTGATTTTAGGAGGGAGTGGCACTTATTGCAACAGGTGCTACAATTTGTTGGATGGCATCTGGGTGTGATCACTGGGTCTAGAGACTCACCGAGCCTTGCATGAGAGCATATACAGACTCAGGAGTTTCAGAAGATCCTCCTTGAGAAGGCTCTTTTCTATTCTAATTTAAATGGCTCTGCAGCCCCCCATGGACTTGAAGTCTTTTTTCTTTGCAGGAGTGCAGTGGTGCGATCATGGCTGACTCCCTGCAGCCTCAAACTCCTGGGCTCACACGATTCTTCAGCCTCAGCCTCCTGAGCAGCTGGGACTACAGGCATGTGCCACCAGCCTGGTTAAATTAATTTTTTTGTAGAGGTGGGGTCTTGCTATGTTGCCTAGGCTGAACTTGAACCCCTGGTCTTACATAATTCTCCTGCTTCAGCCTCCTGAGCAGCTGGGATTACAGGCGCATGCCACTATGCTCAGCTGCAAAGGTTTTCTATATTCCTTCTCATTCTTCCTTCTGTGAACTCAGATGGTGTTTCCAGCTTCAGTGAGTCTTCTTCATAGAAGACCTTCAACCAGCTATCTCTTAGCCATGCCTGGGACCTTGCTGGAAACTCTACCCTGCCCTTTGGAGTTCAGGTGTAGAAAAAGGAGAAAACTATAAAACTATAGGATAATTCACCCCGAGCCTCTTTTTTTTTTTTTTTTTTTTTTTTTTTTTTTTTTTTTTTTTTTAAGATTCTTCCTCTGTTGCCCAGGCTGGAGTACAGTGGTACATTCTTAGCCTGCTGCAACCTCCTCCTCCTGGTTTCAAGCCATTCTCCTGCCTCAGCCTCCCGAGTAGCTGGGACTACAGGCACATGCCACCATGCCTGGCTAATTTTTGTATTTTTAGTAGAGACAGGGTTTCACCACATCAACCAGGCTGGTATTGAACTCCTGACCTCAGGTGATCCACCTGCCTTGGCCTCCCAAAGTGCTAGGATTACACGTGTGAGCCACCATGCCCGTCCCATCCCTTTCTTTCCGAGTATTTATTTAGCTATACTCTCACTAGGCCAATGAGGGTCACATCTTAAAGGGTCCTGCCTGTGTCCACTCTTTAAGGATCTTTCCCTGTACTCTTCAAAAGTGCCCTTTCAAGGAAGCTTGTCTTCCACCTGGCTCAGCAAATTCAAATGCTCCCTTCTGACAGGGCAGAGTCCTAGCTGGGTGCCCAGGGACACATTGTGAAGCAGAGTTCAGGCTTCTAGAGAATGTGAGTTTCATAAGGTGAGATGGAATCATGAATCATTCAGAGCCCCACCCTAAGCTTGGGAGACCTCTCCAGCCTCCGCTGCCCCAGCTCCCACCTACCTGAGGCTTCTCCCAACTAGATTCCAAAGCACAAATAATCTATCAGCCTAAGAACAGAGTCAGGCTCCTATCTACACAACCTCCTGCTGTCCCACTAAGTAACCAAGTTGTAGATAAGTGCCTCACAAAAGGAAGGACAAAAGGTCTTAGCAACTGGAGTCTGGAGATTTTTTTAAATCCTTTTTAGTTCAACATAAAGTGAGAAAGAAAAAAATACTTGACATTTTCAGAGAACAGAAATAGGAAAGTATGTTCATATACATTCAACATATACTGCGCATATTGGTTACTACAATACAAAGCAATGAGTTTTTTTAAAGTGTAGTTTGCAAGATGGCACGGTTAGTAGACTCACTGGCTTTCATCTGGTGTTGCTGGAGGGTGCGGTCTGCTCTCCCATACATACAGTACCATGTAAACAGATCAGGCTGAACGTGTGGCGGTGCTAGGGCAAGTCGGGGGCAGAAGAGTCGGAACAAGCCCAGAGAAGTCAGAACAAGCCCAGAGAAGTCAAACAACGGCTTTTAGGGCTTTCTTGGTAAGCCCCCTTCTGGAGAGTAGTTGGTGACCCCACCAAGTGGAGGGGAGACTGGGGACCATGGAAACACGGGACTGCTCCCAGGAAAGGCTCTTGCACTGCAGAATTCCACTCAAGGGATATTGGGTCCAGGAGCTGAGCTGCCAGTATCAGTGAAGGACACGGTGCATGGGGATCCCGCCAGCAACATCAGGATGGCCATGCTGGGCACCCGCTTTTCTCTGTGCAAATTCAGGACGAAAGACTAGGAGGGGACTCGGGAATTCTTGCTCTCCTTTCCCAGAAAAAAAAAAAAAAGGATGGAGAGTCAGAGTATTCAAGGTCTCTCTCTTGTTTTGAAGATCAGAAGGTGATAACCCAGACCCCCTCTCAGCCCCAGCCAGCAGAGAAGACTTTGGTTTCTAACAATGAAGAGAAATAAAGATAACACAAACAATAGCTATTGCGTATGCACTGCTTCAACTGGGGAAAGGCGATCACTGCATCTGTCACTGGCACAAGTAAGAGCGGTTCACAATTACAATGCCTAAAGGAAATACTTCGAACAAAAGGTGCAAGTCACGATTCAAATAGAACAGAATCTGGTTAAACATTTCTCTTTTAAACAAAAATTCCTTTTGTCTTTATTTATTAATAATGATAATAACAATAATATCAACATTTACCAAAAACAATTTCTACATGATCAAGAATTAATACAGGGGCTGAGGGTGCCCAGAGGGGAGGAGGAGGTTAGGAGAGAGGCAGGGCCCGAGGCGACCTCCGACGCTTCTTGCCTGTGACAAAGAGGCTGAAAGGGGAGAGCATATATATATATTATATATTATATATATACACACATACATATATAATATATATGGAGAAACAATTCTTTTTATGGACAATATAAAATGAGAATGAAAGATTCCACAGAAAGCATAGTACACTGCTGTTGGGTGTTTATCCATGGATAAAACCAGCAGGATGATCAAGGCAACCAACTTTCCAGGTTACAAGAGGGGAGCTGAGATACCCACCAAAAGCAAAGGCTCAAATTGAGACATTCTAACTGGCAAACCATCTATGCCCGGTAATTCTCAGCCTCCATGCTAAACGCTTCATATGATCTTGGCTGGGACAGACATGTTTTTCTGTGGATCCCAGCAGTAAAGACCTCTCTAGGTTCCAGGCTTGGGGGTTTCTCTTTGTTCTTTTTGTTCTGTAAGTGCCAGAAGCCGTCACCCTTCCTCTCTCCCTTTGCCTGCCATGAGGATTCCAGAGGATGGCATCCTCTGGTATTTGCTTTTGCAGAAGAGCAGTACAGGGAGATGGAGGCTGATGAAGGCTAGGGAGGGAGTGGCCCTGAGGCCCCTGGCCTCTGATCTAACTGCTTTGCTCTCCTGTTTCAAAAAAGGAACAAAAGGAAAAAAAGAAAGAAAGAAAAAAGAAAGTAAATCACCTCCAGAAGAAAACATACCAAAAACAAAACAAAACGCAAACCCCCAAACGAAACAACAAAACCACCAACTCAAATATATTTTCACAAAAGATGGAGAACATGGATTTCCTGTTTATTTCCTTGATGACTTGGTCATACAAGCAAACATGGCAAAACCGTCTCAGAACCCAAAAGAACAGCACACGGATGAACCAAATGTGAGGAGAGGAGCTGTGATATTCTGGGTGGAGAGAAACACAAGGGCAATTTGGCGCAGCGCTGCTAGATACTGTGGGTTTTCAATCAACCTTTTCATTCCCAAGCTGTACACACAACCTGCAATAAAGCAGACACAGAGGAGAATTAGTCTGAGAAGAGAAAAGACTCAAATTTCCATTTAAAACGTCAAAAAAAGCTCGGCGGGCTCCCTTTCCCTCTGCAGCTTGCCACACTGAGGTGCTGATACGGATTTGCCAGCAGCTTCCTTTTCACCAGGTCTCTCTGTCAAGGATTTTCCAGATACAACCAATGGTGCCTATTGTACGCTCTTTGCATTCCTCTGGCCAAACGAGCTGATTTCCCCATTTTCTACCATGGGGCTCTCATCACACATTTCCCCAGTCTGGAATATCCTGCCACTTGCTTCTGTATGACCTTAAAACAAATATGGCTAGACACGTTTTCTTGCCAGGTTTTGTCTTTCAGGGCTGAGTTTAAGGACTTCCTCCTTTCCTTATTATGCTGGCCAGAGGTCACCTCCATCCTTTGGAGCCATAGCTCACTTCTGTCTCTATGAAGGCGACAGCACCTATAACACGAGGTGGGGCTTGTATCTTACTCCCATAACTGAACTGAGAGACTATGTCTAGCATTTCTTCTGCATGCCCCCACCCCTATCCCATGCCCTAAAACTAGCAGGGCACTTAATGAAAAGCAGGAAACTGTGAAGCCACGAGGGGAGGCGTAGCATTACTGATGGCACTGGCCACCACAACACATGGGCTGGAGCTCCTGACGGGATCGGGAATGGGCACTGGGCCACAGGGCTGGTTTGGCCCTGGCCAGGGTGACACTCACTCTCTGTTTCTTGTTACACGCCTGCCTGCTCCATGCTGAAGGAGACTTCAGGGTGCTTGTAGCTGAGCAGAATGTCTGTAATACAGGTAGATGGATAGCAAGAGGAGTTTAAATGCTGGCTGCCATCACTCAGGTCTGGGTGCTCATGACCTCCCAGGCTTGCCCCACATTCTGCAAGACCAAAAAGAATATATGAGGTTGGCAGGGAACTGAGGGGCTAAGTGCGCAAGGGGGAGAGAGAGGAGGAATTGAAGGCAAACTGTCTGAGCATCCCAGAGCCTGACTCGCAGCCCTGAACTCTAGCTCACAGGCCCTCAAGGTGTTGAGTGACGATGGGGGGGCGAAGATTCTTCCTGTATTCTCCTCTGCCTGTTGTTTTTCCCCTTTTCCTTTACCCTTTCCCATCCTTAAGTAAGATCAACTACTGTAGTATGAGAAAAGATAGAGGGCTCCTTCTGAAAGAATCACCTCTTAAAGGCTGAAAGGGACAATAATTTGACTGCCTGCAGGTACCCGTTCCTGGGCACTGTCAGTGTTCCGACACTGTGCTAAGCACTTTATACTCACTAAGCCAGCCTGCCCTCACAGCACAACGTAGGATAAAGGCTCTATCATTTTTGCCACTTTAGGGATGAGGATCTCAGGGTCCAGAATAGCCAAGTCCCTTGCCTGCAGAGCCTGAAAAGGACAGCCTTGGGACTGACGGCAGACCTCTGCTGCCCAGGGCCTTGTATTTGTTATGACACCCTCCCTTGATCGGCTCCAAGGAGAGGTAGAAATGTTCCATCAGGACCTGATGCCCTCTAAGCAGAGCCAGAAAGAGTTGTTGAAGGCATATTGTCACAAAGATCAGAGACTGGAATATGAGAGCCCTGTGCCATCTGGCTAGAAGCCACGTCTCCTTTACACACCGCACTCAGGGAAAGACTTGTGCGGAAAGGGGCTGTGTCCAGAACCTGTGGGACGCTGTGGCTCCACCTCCCCATGAGCTCTTCCTGCAGAAGAGGGGCGCAGTCACAGAAGATGGAGGGAGGCCCCTCCAGGAGCATCTCTGGAGTGCCCCAGGCAGAAGGCTCCTCACCCTCATTTTCCCCATCCTGAAACTGCTGGCTGCCCATGAGCGAAGACTGGCTGAGAACTGCATCTGACATCCGGGCAGAACTAAGTGCTTTCCCAGCCACGAGACTCATTCCTGGCAAGTTATCCAGCTGTACCTGCAGAAAACAGGAGAAAACGTAAGCACACCAGAGACTGCACCACTCTCAGGCAACAGACAGCCTGGGGCCCCGCTCCCAGACTCCTTCCTCTACAGCACCACCCAAAGGAGGCGCTCCACAGCAACAGCGTGGTTTCTCCCGCAGGGTGGGGGAAGTGGGATGCGGCGATTGTGGCAAATCTCAGCTGGTGGTGACATCTTGACACTTACATGCCCTTCTAAAACCAGGTTTCTGACCTATCCCCATCACCGCTGGGACTTTATCTTAGAACAGCACCATCTAGTCACACTCTGCAATGATGGAAATGTTCTCTGTCCTGTCCAACATGGTAACCACTAGGCACAGGTGGCTACAGAGCACTTTAAGTGTGACTGGTATGACTGAGGAACTGAATTGTTAATTGTTTTTCATTTTAATTGGTTTAGATTTGAATAGCCACATGTGGCTAGCTACTAGACCAGCGCCACTCTAGGAAAACAAAACTTTGCTGAGGCCCACCAAGCTCCCCTGATCAGTGTAGCTTACTATGTAGAAAAAGAACCAGAAGCCTATAGGCTCATTTGGGGCTGGAGTTTAGATTGAGAAGAGATTTAATAACCAAAACTATAGGGAACAGACGGCAACTATTTCTGATTCCATGGTCTAAAATTTGGAGCATAGATTCTACTGGAATTAAGGGTTGGTCTGTTAGGGGGACTCAAAGAAATGCTCTCAAGGCAGGCAGATCACTTGAGGCCAAAAGTTAGAGACCAGCCTGGCCAACATGGTGAAACCCCATAACTACTAAAAATACAAAAATTAGCCAGGTGTGGTGGCAAGCACCTGTAGTCCCAGCTACTCAGGAGGCTGAGGCACAAGAATCACTTGAACCGGGGAGATGGAAGTTGCAGTGAGCTGAGATCATGCCACTGTACTCTGGGTGACAGAGTGAGACTCCATCTCAAAAAAAGAAATGTTCCCCACAGTTTCCGGAAAGGTTGGATGCTGAGTGAGGAGAGTGGCCAGGAGAGGCTACCCCGCATCACTATGCTCTGCTTCGAGGCGGAAAACAGATGGGAGGATCCACCTCTGCACAGCAGGAGGGACCAACATACATAAGCATCGTCGCTGTTCTGGATGGTATGGTGTCTCTGGAGGGCCCGGGGCCTGTGCTGCTCGTGGACGGAGGGGCGTGCTGGGTACCCAAGCCCGTTGTGATCCTGCAGCTCCACTGCTTGTCCTGGAGAACTTCTATCCATGCAGTTCCCTATGACAGGCTCTGAGGAGACACAGCAGAATAGTCAGTGGGGCTGAACTTCTCCCAGCACTGGAAACCCCCATCCAAGAAATATCTTGCAAGGGACAATGGGCAAGGCTGAAGAGACCAAGTACACTAAGCACTAATCCGCACTCGGTGGTCATGGCTTAGAGCCCACCACCAGCAAAGATAAGCCTCTTTAGGACGGGACCACACCCTTAGGGAAAAAAATCCTAGGGAGGCATGGCTGGACCCCACTGAATCTTTTCTTTCATTTCTCTGTTGCATTAATAATGATCGATTCCCAAACGTAGATGTACATGAGAATTACTCTCATGAAATTCTTTTGCTTTCAGGAACCTCTAGCCTGGGAGGATGTGTCTGTTCTGTGGCTGCCTCCTCTCTCCTCCCCTGTGACCTCAGTGTACCACACCGCTCCTCTCCTTTCTACTTCTCTAACTGCTGCTTCTGACTCCTTCAATGGCACCTCCACCCTTTCTAAGCAAGCACTCTCCACATGTTTGTCCTTGACCTTCTGTCTCCCCCACACTTACTTTGGCAACATCTATTTTCATGGCTGTACTGCCTTTATGTAAAGAATTACTAAAGTGCTCCTTTAAACCCCAGATCCATATTTCCAGCTACTTACTAGGTATCTTTCCCTGGATATCTAACCAGCATGTAACACTTACCATGTCCAATTCCAGACCCATCAACTGCCCCTATAACCTGCTACTCCTTCACACATTGCTGTTTTGATGTCTCATTTTCCGAATCTTCCAGACATAAGCGCAATAGGGCCACTATTGATCCCTTACTCCTGATGCCGCAATAGCTTGAAGTCTAATCAGTCTACCTCTGCCATGCTGGTCACTTGAGTCCCTCTGTTTGCAATCTCATGGAAACTTGATTACCTCTTCCCTGGATTATTACACTAGCCTTATAACCATCCCCCTACTACTACCCTGCGAAGATCGATTGTTCTATAGTTCATTCACTTTCATTTTTACGACAGTGCCCCAGCTATCTTCCAATCGGTGTCTCACACTCCCTTCTCCTACACATTCTAAGCTCTACTCAAATGGGACCACTTAACTGTCCCCAACTATGCACAATTCTATGCATTTGCTCTCACTGTTCCTTCTACCTGCAAATAACTGATTTCTTCTGCCTCCATTCCTGCCAATCCAAATCAACTCATCATTCTAAGTCCATAGCAAATGCTACTGTCTTGATTAAACTTTTCCTTTCAAACAGAAATAGATCATCTCTACCTTTAAACATCAAAAGACTTTGTCTCTGATTGCTTTAACATTATCCTTGGTACCATGTTCCATTATGTACTTAAAACATTCACATTAGACTACAAATTCTTTGCAGGCAAGAACTGTATCTCATGTATGTCTGTGAAGCTTCAGTCTTCTAGAACATTGTCCTATACTCAGTATTATGATCTCTTTAACTGATGTCAGATGTCAGTAAATTCTCTTTAGGCTGGGCATGATGGCTCATGCCCGTAATCCCAGGACTTTGAGAGGCTGAGGCGGGTGGAGCACCTGAGATCAGGAGTTCGAGACTGGCGTGGCCAACGTGGTGAAACCCTACCTTTACTAAAAATACAAAAATTAGCTAGGTGTGGTTGTGTGTGTCTGTGGTCCCAGCTGCTCGGGAGGCTGAGGTAAGAGAATTGCCTGAATTTAGGAAGCAGAGATTATAGTGAGCCAAGACCATGCCACTGCACTCCAGCCTGGGCAAGAGAGTAAGACTGTCTCAAAAAATAATAATAAAATAAATGTTCTCCTAATATGGGTTACTATCCTGTCAAAGCATGCAACTCTACGGACTAGAATTAGAAAGAAAGAGGAATGAGTATTTGTTGATCAAGGATCATCAAGAAGACTATCAAAGCCACACCTAAGTTGATAGGATCCTCCTGGTTGCACTTTTGGCTTCAGTCTTTAAGAGCCTGGGTACCTGACCGTAAGTTTTGTTTGTTTGGTTGGTTTTCTGAATTAAAGCTTCTTGGAAACTGCTGAGCTTATCTCGGATGAACTGACTGTTGGTGGGACTAAGCTAAAAAAAAATAAAAAACCTCTTCATTGCAAACACAGCTCTAATGCTAAGGGCGCCATTCCAATGATCTATTTGAATAATGAAAGTAAAGCATTCTTCTTGAGTGTTGGGTAAGGGATTTCAGGTCTCTGTGTTTAAAAGGTTTTCTACAATGATTAAGGTTAGGCTTGGACTTAGGGGCAGAGGCAGGATGGAAAGGGAGGGGAGCTAACTGACGCGTACAATGCTAGTAACGCAAGCCATTCTGGAGGAAAATGAGCAGGAGGGAGCCTCCCAACTACCAACTAAAGATGATGGCAAGCGAGAAATCTTTTGACAGTTCTCTGAGCAAAGAGGTAAAAGGAAAAGCCAGCAGCCAACTATTTTGCTACAGAAAGCTAAAAGCCAGTGGAGAGGAGATAAAAGAAAGCCTACACCAGATCTTGTTCTGTGGAATTAGCCCACTCATTGTACCTACTCTACCCATTCCCCTCCGTGGCCAGCTCGCATGGTGGCACCAGGGCCAACCAAAAACCACTGGCAGGAAGTGGTGCAACACAGCTGTGTGGGAGCGAGGAAATGTTGATTCTGTCTCCTCTGCCAAGAAGCAATGCGAGCAGCCGCTTCTTACTTTTTCAAAAACCTATACCATCTTCTTTGATAGCTAACATCATTCCCTCCATTCTGTGGGCTGCTTTTCTCCTTTAAGCCTGATTACATACTGGATGCAAACCTCATCAGTTGCACCTCTTTGTTCTCGGCAAGGACAAACATGAGTGCTCTCCTGTTTAAAGATTTTAAAAGATCATTACTAACCACGAGGAAATGGCAAATGTATACAGTCCTGGCTGGAGCCTTACCGCCTCTTCCGGAGGCCTCAGAGTTGTTTGTTTGCCATTTCTCTTAAGGCTCTTTCCCCGACCCCCCTCAGAACTTGTTTTTATGACTGAGAATTGGGGCCTCTGCAAACCAAAACACCCACCCTCCTTTGGGCTCTGCCTCGTCTGCTCTCTTCCCGACTTCGGGTTTGATGCCTGTAGGCACCAAGCCAGAGCAAGTGACAGCCTGACAAATCATGTGAGGGGCCTTCCTGACTCCCAGCCCAGAGCTCATCCCTCAGCCAAGCTGCAGTTGAGCACAAGGGCCATGAGCACAAGCTCTGGGGTCAGGAAAACCTGGCCGTGAATCCTGGCTTCGCTGCTTCCTCGGGAGCGGGAACTTGGGCGAGTTATCCCGCTTTGCTGGGGCTTACTTATCTGTACAAGAGGACTGACACTATGGGTGTGGAGTGCTATATAGAGGTTATCACACTGTAAAAGCTCAATAAAGTCTGGCATGATTTATATTCAGTTTAGAGATGTTATTTCTGAGTGCATAAGGGCATCCTGAGTCAGCTGACAAACAAGGAAATTAATTTAATCACAGAACCCTGCTTGCAGAATTACAAAGGACAATTTACCCATATGTAAATGAACAAATGACTCAGGGAAACTTTAACTTCCAGAAGAAGCCTCTGATACGGGACAGACACATGTGAGTTAAAAACCTCAAGGACCTAGAAATAGAAATTCCATTTGACCCAGCAATCCCATTACTGGGTATATATCCAAAGGATTATAAATCGTTCTACTATAAGAACATGTGCACACGAATGTTCATTGCAGCACTGTTTACAGTAGCAAAGACCTGGAATCAACCCAAATGCCCATCGATGATAGACTGGACAGGGAAAATGTGGCACATATACACCATGGAATATTATGCAGCCATCAAAAACGATGAGTTTGTGTCCTTTGTAGGGACATGGATGAACCTGGAAACCATCATTCTCAGCAAACTGACACGAGAGCAGAAAATCAAACACCGCATGTTCTCACTCATAGGTGGGTGTTGAACAATGAGAACACATGGACACAGGGAGGGGAGCGCTACACACTGGGCTCTGTTGAGGGGAAACAGGGGAGGGACAGCGGGGGGTGGGGAGTTGGGGAGGGATAGCACAGGGAGAAATGTCAGATATAGGTGAAGGGGAGGAAGGCAGCAAATCACACTGCCACGTGTGTACCTATGCAACAATCTTGCATGTTCTTCACATGTACCCCAAAACCTAAAATGTAATTAAACAAACAAACAACAAACAGATGAAAGAGTATTAATAGGAGTCAGGGAATAAACTGGGGCTCTGTCTGCTCAAGTTTCAGTATAATCAGTAGGTCAAAGACCTGGAAGGGCTAGTAGCTTTCATTTGGCAGCTGTGCTTGGAAGGTGCAGAGTAGGCAAGGAGGCATAAAGGGAAAAGTATATGACTAGGGAATCAGCAAACTAGTCAGGACTGAGCTCCTTCACCAGCAAAGTACACAAATGTTGGCAAATCTTTTAGCTTCTCCTCAAGGTTCCTGATCTGAAAAATGAGCGTTGTTTGGGGGCTCAAAAAGACAACACATTGTAAAAGAGTCTTTAATCAACTGTAAAGGACCAGGTGAGTCAAGTCTGATTTTTGGTAAGAATGCTGACCCTGAGTCTAGAAGTCCTTTGTGACACTCTATAAATGAGTGACTGACCACCCCCACTGACCACTTGTTGGGGGGTGATAAATATTCCCAAGAGCTACATGCTCAAATATTTATCAGACTAAAGCTAAGAGAATGCAGAAGATGCTGGAGAGGATGTGAAGAAACAGGAACGCTTTTACACAGTTGTTGGGAGTGTAAGTTAGTGCAACCATTGTGGAAGACAGTGTGGTGATTCTGCAAGGATCTAGAAATAGAAATACCATTTGACCCAGCAATCCCCATTATTAGGTATATACCCAAAGAATTATAAATTGTTCTATTATAATGACACATGCGCATGTATGTTTATTGCAGCACCACTTACAATAGCAAAGACCTGGAACCAACCCAAATGTCCATCAAGGACAGACTGGAAAAAGAAAATGGGGCACATGGAATACTATGCAACCATAAAAA